GGATCTATCAGGGTTCTCCGGTTCTCCTTTAAAGGATCTATAATAAGGGGTTTACTTGGAGGATCATGGGACTTAGTAACTGGGGTTATAAATAAGGTAAGTATACTTTTTACTCCAATTAGGGTACTTATACCCTTCCTTTAAAGGGGTCCAGATTTTACAGGGGGAGTAGCACGCGGAGGTCAAAGAGCGCCCCTGGGCCACGCCGGAAGTCAGGAGTGGGTGACACAGGGGCCTTAATAAATAGAATCGGGTTCCCTTCTAAGGGGTTCCTTTAAAAGGATCTACAAGGGTCGGAGACTGTCTGGTTCTGAGTAGGGAATGGGGGAATGGATCCCAAGGAAAGTCCCGATAAATTCCCCAAGAGTAGTCCCCACGATCCATTCCCCCACCCCCTACTAAGAACCAGACAGCTGAGCGGAGAGAAAAAGGAGCCCTTGAAAGCCCAAGACAGGGGTTTAGGGTTTTGGGGGTGTAAGGGTGAGGGGTTTGTCTAGGGGTTCAGGGTTTTGGGGGGTTTAGAGTTTTAAGTGCAGGGTTTAGGAAGCCACAAAGAGCACTAACACCGCTGGACACCCCCCAAGCCCGGAACCCTAAGCCCGGAGCCCAAAAGCTGGCTCTGCAGCCTGAGGTATGAATTCCTAAGACATCCCAAACCCTAAACCCCAAACCCTAAACCTCTAAACCCCTAAACCCTAAACCCCAAAACCTCTAAACCCCTAAACCCTGGACCCTAACCCCCTAAACCCCTAAACCCTAGGCCCCTAAACCCCTGAACCCCTAAGCCTTAAACCCCAAAGCCCCTTTCAACCCTGAGGTATGAATGCCTATGGCATCATCCTCAACGACATCGGCCTTGAGCCGCTCATCGACGAGCTCCAGCGCCTCTGTGGGAAACTTTGGGTCTCGCTTTTGGGGTCTCTTCAGGGTGGGGGCTCCTTGGAGGGTTCCCATAAGAGTTCAGAGCTTTTTGGGACTAATCGGAGTTATAAGTAACTATAGGTAGAGTTACCAGGTTCATGCCACTAGTCACTAAGTCCCATGATCCTTGGGATCGGGGTTGAGGGCTTGGGGTGCAGGGGTTTCAGGTTTAGGACGCCCAAACCCTAAACCCTGAACTCCAAGCCCTAAGCCCTAAACTCCTCAGCCCTAAACCGGAAACCCTAAACCCGAAGCCCTAAACTCCAAACCCTCAGCCCTAAAGGGCTTTTTTTTTTTTTTGCAGCCCGCTGCATTTTTTTGAAAGAAACGTGCATTTGTTGAAAGAGAAGTGCATTTTTGGAAAGAAAAGTGCTGCTCTGTGCATTGAGGCGGCAGCTCCAGCCTCTCGGGGAGCTTCTCTTCCCCGGCCCTGGCAGCTGCTGGGAGCCGTGGCCTGCACTTTTAGCTTCAGGGCTGGGGGGCTTTGGGGTTTGGGGCTGTTTGGGGTTTAGGATATGTATAACAATTAGTAACAACAATAATCATCATAGTAATAAGAGTAATAGCAGTAATAATAGCAATACTAATAATATTCTACACATTAGGGTTTAGGGGCTTTGGGGTTTAAGGTTCAAGGGGTTGGGGCTTGGGGTTGTGTGTTTGAAGCATCGCTCTGGGAATCCTAAGAGGGGCTACTGGTACTAGATGGTTACTTGGAGGATCATGGGACATAGTACGGGTTCATAAAGGGCTCCTTAAAGGGAGCTATAGTGTTCTTTAAAAGGATCTATAGGGTTTAGGGTTTAGGGTATTACCTGGAGGATCATGGGACTTAGTAGTACGGTTATAAGTGCCCTAGTTGGAGTTATAAGTATAGTTACCTTATTTATAACCCTAGTTACTAAGTCCCATGACCCTCCAAGTAACATCAGTTCCCCAACGTCGTCTCGGGCTTGGTGCTTCTTTCAAAAGAGGCCAGTGCCGCTGTTGAAGAGTCGTTACAACCCTTGTATGTAGTTTGACGCAGGTCTGTACTGAGTTTTGTTCGATGTTCTTCGTGTTGCCGACAAGCAGTGCGCATCAAAGTGGGAGCTGGTACTCCAAGCAAGTTGGCGGAGTCAAAAGTCCTTTCGGCGCTCCACCGAACCACTCAGCATTTCTCAAAAGATTGTCTGGTGCTTAGTAGGGAATGGGGGAATGGATCCTTATAGTGCCGTCGTCCTTGCCAGGCTGTAATGCCCGGGGCGCTTTCGGGGCACACTGTGGAGCCCAGCCTTTTAGAACCCTTCAAAGAGCCCTGCTTACTATAGAAGCCTAAATAATGACCAGTACTACTTTGGGATTTCTGACTGTAATTATACTATAAAGGAGTTCAAAACCCTATTCTAATTATTAAGGCCCCTACATTACTAAGAAGTGGGAGGGCGAAAGAACTCTTGGCCCTACGATGACGAGGGAGGCGGTATGGTGATGTTCTGTTTTATCGAGACGCTTCTTCGGTCTGGTTCTTAGTCGGGAATGGGGGAATGCAGTATTGGGACTACTATGGGGGATTCTATAGGGGCTACTATAAGGATCTATTCCCCCATTCCCTACTAAGCACCAGACAGTCTTTTGAGAAATGCTGAGTGGTCCGGTGGAGCAGGGAGCAGCCCTGGAAACCCCACCTCGAATTCATTCGGGTGGTTGTTTAGGGTTGAGGCTCATATTCTTGGCAAGTGGTTTTTCGGATACCTTGTCAGACTGCAGCACATGGTGCAGGAAATCGAGGGTTTCAAGATCCTGACCTGACGTAGCCTCTTGTGTGATGCAGCTTCGATGTGCATTGCTTGCGTCCAACTCTTTCCACTCAAGATGAAGCCTTTTCTTGAGAGTCATTGGCAACATCTTTCGTGGCCCCCCGCGATGGTTGGGTTTTGACTTGTGCAGCACTCGCCCAACCCTGGTCTGAAAGACATGGTACAGACTTCCAATGTGAGCGTGGTTTGGGCTCCTGCTGCTTATAAGCTTTCGACCTTGATTGGACAGTGCTGATTATACATGCTTCTGGAATGGAAAAGCTTCAGTGCGGCCGCCGGGGCGTGTGTACTTCAAGCGCTGTTTCAGCTCTGTGTCTTCTCCTGCAGGTAACTTGGGCTACGCTTCAACCTCTCGACGCAGTTTTCCCTTCGGGCTAGTTGATGTACAGGTGGCTGGTCTACGCTCTTGTTCAGTTGACCGGGTCTGTTCTGCAAGAGGTGAAGCTGCACCTCATGGCACAAACTTGGAGGCAAAGTTTGAGGCTGTCTTCTGGACTTGTGGGCTTGCGCAGGCTGTGCCCCCTGCGCCGTGCTTCCAATGGTTGGGAGCCGTCTTTAATTGGTTGAAGCACTCAGCCATGCTTTGATCGTCGTGTGCTTGGGCAATGGTCGCTGCTCCTGGCTCTCCTGGTGGCAATGCGGCCTTGACGTCCAGTGCTGGGGGATTGGGTTCTCAAGTGCTGTGAGGGCCTGAGGGCAAAGCTGCACACACTTTTCATCAGACTCTCAGTGGTCTGATTGCAAGAACTCTAACCTCAGGACCAGTCGCAGGCTGCTGCAAAAGAGGGCAACGAGATGTCGCTTTCACACATGCTTAGCTACGCCGTCTTTCCCGTCAGCTACCAGCCACTGCAGCGGAACCCGAAGAAACGTTCTCCAAGAATGAGGCTCATATTCTTGGCAAGTGGTTTTTCGGATACCTTGTCAGACTGCAGCACATGGTGCAGGAAATCGAGGGTTTCAAGATCCTGACCTGACGTAGCCTCTTGTGTGATGCAGCTTCGATGTGCATTGCTTGCGTCCAACTCTTTCCACTCAAGATGAAGCCTTTTCTTGAGAGTCATTGGCAACATCTTTCGTGGCCCACCCTGGCTGCGCCCCTACCCTGTTGGGTTCTCAAGTGCTGTGAGGGCCTGAGGGCAAAGCTGCACACACTTTTCATCAGACTCTCAGTGGTCTGATTGCAAGAACTCTAACCTCAGGACCAGTCGCAGGCTGCTGCAAAAGAGGGCAACGAGATGTCGCTTTCACACATGCTTAGCTACGCCGTCTTTCCCGTCAGCTACCAGCCACTGCAGCGGAACCCGCAGAAACGTTCTCCAAGAATTAGGGTTTAGGGTTTAGGGTTTAGGGTTCATTCGGGTGGTTGTCAAAATTATGGTCCCTTTTTCGGGTATCCTAAATATTAGGTGCCGTGTTAGAATAAGGACCCAAAAAGGGACCCTAATATTTACTGCCACCCATTCGGGAGTGAAGCGGGCGGTAGATCTGGATGAGACGGTTCAAGGAGAATAGGTTAGACGCCAGCAGGGGACGTGTCCCTGACCGAGTAAGACTGGTTCCCAATCGCTCTGTTTCACAGACCCCGGGCCTAAAGCAGCTCGAATGGTGTTGCTCCAGAAATCTGTTTCGGCAGGTCGTATAGGGCGCGGTGAAACCCCGGAACGTACCAACTGAAACTTCCAACTTGCATCCTCATTGGACCCCACCGCCATTAGGATGTGAAATGGACAGAGCCCCGGACGCCCTAAACCCTAAACCCTAATCCCTAAACCCCTAAACCGTAAACCCTCTTTCGAATAGTGTTTGGGGTCTAGGGCTGTGCGGTATCGTCTGTACCGTTTTGCCATGTTCTCGATCCCCACCTGGGAGTTTCCGAAAACCAGGGGGTACCTTAGGGTTCCTTAAAAAGGTTACTGCAATGGTACTATAAGAGTTTCAAAGGGACACTTTAGGGGTTTGGAGTTTCCGAAGATTTGGAGGTACCTTTTTGTGGGGATACTTATAATAGGGATCCTACTATTTAGGGTACTCTATTAGGGTTCCCTGTTTTCGGAAAGTCCCAAATCCTGAACTCTCAACCCGAAACCCTCCCGAGCATGGTCGATCAAGTCTTTCGCATTCCCACCCTTTTGAATGCGGCTTTGCAAGGACGGGCACCACTGCTTCATTGAGACTTACATGCAGATGGTTCAGGGTTCAGAGCGGTTTCTGCTAGATAATGAAGTTGCTCGGCATCCTTGGCATACTTAGTGGGTGACTATACCACCAGTGAGAAGCATGTTCGTTGCAAGCTGCATTACCGTTTCCTGGGCTGTTTACACGGTCTCCGCCTGTGTGGGGGTGTCCCAAAATTTAGGGTACCTTACTTTGGGCTCCTTAAGAAGGATCCCACTATTCAGGGCAGTAGATCAGGGTCCCCTACTTGCAGAAACCCCGTGTTGCAAGGTCCGGTACCGCTCCGGCGAGGATCTGGGTCTGGATATGCACACGGATGATTCCGTCGCCAGACATGTACAAGTTCAGAATAGGCTGTTGAGTGTTTGAGGTCTAGGGTTTGTCGGTATCCTTCCTTTTTGCAGGACTGTGCTGTTGTAACTTCCCGGCCCGTGGTGTGCGACACAAGTTCTGTTCTGCCCCCGCAAGCCTGCGCTGAGGACGTGACGATGAATCTCTGCTTGGGATTGGAATTCGCGGGTGCCGGCTTGCAGTTTTGCGGCATGGCCAGATTCCAAGCGCAGAGATGTTCCGTCGAAGGGTTGAAACCTCTGTCGTGGTGGTGCCTTGAGATGCAAATCGCAGAGGTCGGTGCCACAGATCATCGCAAACACTGCTACACCTACTACCACAAGAAGGAGCCGGCTTGACTGCTCTGATGCTCAGTATGTGATGCTGCATCTTGCGGGTGCTCTCTTTAATCCTGCCTTCTGCTACCGCAGACGGTGACGTTCCATCGCAGCAGTTATCTGTGCAGGGCACCTGCGTCATCCACCTCGGACGACGGCGGCACGGTGCAGACGACATCACGTGCCCTGGACGGGGCTGTTGGCATGCCATAAAACTGAGGCTTCGGGTGGAAAACTTATGTCGTTTGTGGGACTAAGATCTTCCTTTCCTCATAAAGGGCGACAGCAGTGCATGAATCTAAGTGGCAATTCTCCGTAGGCAGCTGGTAGAAGGGTATCAAGTTCACCAAGTATCGACTTCTGCGGAGCGTGTAGCCTGACAGACCTTGCTAGGTCCGGCGAGCGGCTGAACCTAATTCTTTGGAACCACTCCAGCACGCTCCTGGCCTGCATCTTTCAGCGTTCCTAAACCCTCAACCAGGGACCTGTCGCTCAGTCGCCCGCGACGCAGTACTGAAGGGAGATATATGTTTCCTGTAAGGGATACCATGCTTGGAGGATCATGGTACTTAGTAAGTAAGGTTATAAGTGCCCTAATTGGAGTTACAAGTATAGTTACCTTATTTGTAACCCTAGTTACTAAGTCTCATGATCCTCCAAGTAACGGCTCCTATTAAGGGATACCAGACTTTAGACATTGTCCAAACTCCATAACCTGCTTTTCGCATCTTTTCGCAGAGAATGGTTGCGCCATCTAAGGTACAGAGCAAGCTCCTTGGCTCGCCATTTTGACTGGTAATATAGGGGCCTTACTGATTAGAATAGGGTTTTGGGGCCCATTATACTATAACTAGATTATTAAGGCCCCTATAGTGCATCATGCGAGCCATGTGTGTGTGCTGCTAGCCACTCGCACATACAACTTTGATTCGTGACGTATTTTATAGGCCCTACACCCGAAGCCTTACAGTAGAAGCCAGAAAGTTGGAATATCATTATCGTACCCCCTTTAAGGTAAATTATAGGGGATCCTACCATTAATCCATATTCCAACTTTCTGGAGTTCCCTTTATAGGGATCCCTAAACCCTAAACCCCACAAAGATCCCTTTAAGGAACCCCTATAGATCCCTTGAAAGGAACCACCCATGTATACTTTCTGGAGTTCCCTTTAGACCCATGAGAAAAGCTTGCAGCGTCGCAGGATTCAGGCTTCGGTGCATGGTCCCAAACCTTTGCCCCAGGTGATGAATCCGAGAATCCAGACTATCTCATAGAAGAAGGCCTGGCGCTGTCCTCCGATTTTTGAGCCTTTTACTGTGGCGCCCTCAGATCCTAAGCCCTAAAGCCTAAAACCCTGAAGCCCTAAAGATCTTAACTTTGAAACCTTGCACCTTCAAGCCCTGCTCAAGGGCTTAAAGCTTTTGAGCCCGAAAGCCCTTCTTGGAGTTTCATGGGACTTAGTAAGTAGGGTGTCCCCTAATTAGGGTTATAACTAGTTATCAGTATACTCACCTTATTCATAACCTTAGTTACTACGTCCCAACCCCAAGCCCTTAAAGGGAGCCCTATTCTAGAGCCCTAGAGTACCCTTAAGGGGGGTTCCCTACTTGGAGGGTCGGGGGACTTAGTAAGTAGATAGTAAGTAGACTTGTAAGTACCCTAAAAGGGACCCTAATTGGTGTTATGGTACTTATAAGTCCCTAAAATAACCAGTTACTAAGTCCCCCGACCCTCCAAGTACGCTAAACCCTAAACCAGGGTGTGGAGGGCTTAGGGTTGGAGTTTAGGGCCGCGGCTTCTGATTGCCCTCGAGACCCTTACAAGGGGAACCCGAAGCCCCAAAGCTTGGTTAGAACAGTTATCAGTATACTTACCTTATTCATAACCTTAAGGGAGCCCTATTCTAGAGCCCTAGAGTGCCCTTAAGGGGGGTTCCCTAAGCCCCAAAGCTTGAAAAAGGCCCTCCGGATGCTGTCTGCGTGAGCTACACACACGACCGGGACTTCGGGAACTTCAAGGTCTGGGCCTGGGGGTTTAGGGTTTAGGGTTTAGAGATTAGGGTTTAGGGTTGAGGGTTGAGGGTTTAGGGTTGAGGGTTTAGGGTTTAGGGTTCAGGGTTCAGGGTTGAGGGTTTAGGGTTTAGGGTTTAGGGTTGAGGGTTTAGGGTTGAGGGTTTAGGGTTGAGGGTATAGGGTTTACGGGAGAGGGGTTTAGGGTTTAGGAGGATGCCCAGTAGTACTCTTATTCCCTTTTTGTAGTCCTAGGTTCCTTGTAAAGTTACCCAATACCAAAAAGGGAGCCCCGTTTTTTCCCCAGGTTACTGGGCATCCTAGTTTCTGGAGATAGCACACGGGCTAGCAAAGGACTTCCTCTAAGGAGTCTGCAAGGGTGACACAGGGCTACTTTGAGAGTTCTGAAACATACTACTACAAGAGTTACTATATGGGAGCTTCCGAAAATTAGGTGATACCTTATTTTGGGGTCCTTATATTAAGGATCCTACTATTTAGGGTACTATATTAGGGCCCCCTATTTTCGGAAACCCCATATCTTGTATAAGAGGTCTATGGCAAGGGTTATGGAAACGGCCGAGCGGAAGACCGGACATAGGGAAGTGCCTCAGTTCTGGGTCAGTCTAGGGCTGTAGAGCACCGAGCTCTGTTGTATCGCAACAAAAAGACATCTAGGGTTGAGGGTTTAGGAGGTCTTGCAATGGCAATACCTGCATTTGATTGTCGGGCCATGCTGTGAACAATCGCCAGTATGTGCATGCTGATGTGCGCAGGAATATCCAGCAGGCAAAGAACACTTCCGTGGTCGTGGCTGGTGTCCTCGGAGAAAGCTGGAGTACGAAGGACTCTGGCGAGCATTTTCCTCTGCCATTATTGCCATAACGATTACTCTTCCTATTATTATTCTCATCTTTATTGCTATTGTGATTAAAACCATTAGTTGTATTGTCAGTATTATTACCATCATGACTACTATTAACTAAGTGTGAGACACGACATGCCAAAACTGCTACTGTGGGTCGCTTTTCGGCAGGATTCGCTCCAGACTGCCGGGAGCTTATTGTCAATTTTGGGAGCCATCGGTTCAAAACCCTCAACCCTGAACCCTACAGTAGAAGCCGGAAAGTTGGAATATCATTATCCTAACCCCTTTAAGGTAAATTATAGGGGATCCTACTATTAATCCATATTCCAACTTTCTGGAGTTCCCCTTAAACCCTAAACCTCGGAAGTTTAAAGTCACCTTGGCTTCAGGTGAAGAAGAAGTCGCCGCCCAAAAGAGCTGACATTGCTGAGACTCATCGTAAGCTGATTCCTGGGAAGTCCCTGTGCGGCCATCGTTTAGGGTTTAGGTTTAGTGTTCAGCCGGCTGTCCAGATCCAAGGGTAAAAGGAGGGACCCTTAGTAAGGAGCCCTAGGTATATCCCCTTCATACAGCTATTATATACCCATTATATAGCCCATTATAGGGTAGGGGTCCCAATTAAGGGGGTCCCTCCTTTTCCCCTTTGACCAGAAGTCAGTCGAGGGTTCAGGGTTGTGATAAAGCAGAAGGCTGATGAAGACGTTGTCAGAGCAGGGACGACCCATCTTATGGAGAAGCCTTGAGGTATCAGGAGCAGGACGTGACAGCCTGTGGTGGTTCCAGGCTTTCTCCGCCTGTAAATACGTTCGGGATGCGGATGTGCAGATGCCACGTGCTTGTGATGAGGTCTTGTGAAGGGAGCCGTGAGAAAGGGCGGCATCTGCAGCGGTTCAACTACATGCCGCATCGTGTCCCAGGGAGTTCGGTCGAGCGACGGTCCATCACAGTGGAATGACTGCACGGGAGGGATTTGCGCAAGAGAGAAGATGTTTATAAACGCCTGGCTTATGTCAAGTCTGGGTCATGGACAAGCCATGGAGTTTGACGTCTTACACTCTAGGACTCTAGGACTGCTCTGACTGCCCCTACTTCTCTCTTGCGCATCCTTGCTCAACAGCAAACCTGTGCAGGAAATGCTTGTGAGATGACCGTGCAAGGCTACCAAACGATGCTGCAATGCGAGCGACAGAAACTTTTCTATGCACGCACACGGCAAAAAAAACGTGGCTGCAGCTGTCGTTGTTTCAGGCTGGAGTTTGCAGAAGCTCCGTGCCTTCTTTGCTATCGAGCACTTCAACATTAATGGAGGTCTCTGATTAAGAAGCACTTTCCGCTTGATAAGAACTGTGGTAGGGATCCGAATTTGTTGGGCCTTGAACCATCAACCCTAAACCCCTTTGAAAGGGTTTTTTTTCAACCCGGGTCGACATAAACCCTGAACCCTAAACCGTAGAAACCTTGAGTATGGCAGCCTGAAAGAAATTCTGCAAGGACAGGAAGTCTAAGCCCTAAACCAACCCAAAACCCGAAACCCTGAACTCTAAACCCAAAACCCTAACGGGAAGCCCTTACGGGAAACCCTTCATAGGAGCCCCCTTAAAGGAGCCCACAAGAGATGGCAGGTCGTCGGCAGCACAGCGGAGGCGGAAAGCCAGCGGACCTCGAAGGAGCAGGCGCTAAGGTTCCCTTTTCAGGGTTCCTTCAGGATTTACCTAGAGCCTCCAAAACCCCTTAATTAAGGAATATACCCTAAATTATAACAGGATCCCTTACATGATTTAAGGTATATTCCTTCATTAAGGGGGTTTGGAGGTTCAGGATTTAGGGCTTAGAAGGAATCGATCGATGAGGGTAGGGCTAGGGACTAAGGGTTCAGGGTTTATAGGGGTTTAGGGTTTAGGGTTCCGTTATAGGGTTTAGGGTTTAGGGTTTAGGGTTTAGGGTTTAGGGTTTATAGGGGTTTAGGGTTCCGTTATAACGGGATCTACAGGGAACTCCAGAAAGTTGGAATATGGTTTCATGGTAGGATACCCTATAACTTACCTTTAAAGGGGTTAGGATAATCATATTCCAACTTTCTGGCTTCTACTGTATGAGGGTTCCTGATGAGATTAAGCGTTTAGGCTTCAGGATTCCGTTAAGGGATCTCTTGTAGAGCCCCTGCCAGGCACCCGCAAAGGTAACCCTTGCAAACCGTTAAAGCAACCCTTATCGGAACCCTTATAACACCATACGGATTCCGTTGGGCGGATCTATAAAGGGGCTACTAAGAGGCTTAATGAAGCTTGTAGTAGGGCTCCTCCCAGGATTCTTCGCAGGGCGCCTTTAAATGGGAGTTTCCGGACATTATGGGTACCTTGTTTTGGGATCCTTATAACAAGGAATTCTGCTATTTAGGGTACTATATTAGGGTCCGAAACTCCCAAATCCTGGGAGCTATCGACGCTACTCTACGGGTTACTTCAAGAGTTCCTCTCAGATCTGTAAGGCTTCCGGTAAGCCCTAAACCCTAAGCCCCTAAACGCCTAACCCCCAAACCCTTAAGCCCTAAACCCTAAGCCCTAAACCCTAAACCCTAAACCCCTAAACCCTACACCCCTAAACCCCTAAACCCCTAAACCCCTAAGCCCTAAACCCCTAAACCCCTAAACCCCTAAACCCCTAAGCCCTAAGCCCTAATCCCCGAACCCTAAACCCCTAAACCCCTAAACCCCTAAGCCCTAAACCCCGAACCTTAGGGTTACTTAGAAATAATTTTTAATTTTTGGTTATTATAATCCCTAAGAAACAGCTAAAATTATAATTTTTGCTAGGGTTCTAAGTTCAGTATAGGAACCCTAAGGCTCTTGGTGCTGAAGGAAGGCCCTGGGTCTGCTTGGAGTCCGGCTTTTGGGTTGTGTACTTGGAGGATCATGGGACTTAGGGTTCCTTAAAGGGTTCCTTAAGGGGCTCCTTTTAAAGGCTTCTATAGGGGATCTAGGGATTTAGGGTTTAGGGTCTACTTGGAGGATCATGGGACTTAGTAACTAGGGTTATAAATTAGGAACTATACTTCTAACTCCAGTTAGGGTACTTATAACCTTACTTGCAAAGTCCCATGATCCTGCAAGTAGACTTTAGAAGGGGCCCCCACCCTGCAATAGTGACTATAAGGATTAGATAGGGGCCCTATTATACTCCTATTATACCACCATTACAGGGAGGGGGCCCCTTCTAATGTAGACTGTAGCATCATGTAGAGGCCTTACTCATTAGAATAGGGTTCGGGGTACATTATATTCTCATTACAATAAGGAACCCACAAAACCCTATTCTAATTATAAAGGCCCCTACAGTAAACACCCTTTTGGCACAAGGCCGCCGAAGCGATACTGACGATCTTCACTTCCATGGACTCGGCGATGGCCTGAGAATTTCTTTCCAAGACGTCGGTGCTCTGGTTGGTTTTAGGGTTCTGGGTTTATGCAGGTAAAGGACTATCATAGGGTTTAGTGGTTTGGGGTTTAGGGATTAAGGGTTGAGAATACCTCCTCGTTTTGCAATGTGTAGCCTGAGCGCATGCCTAGGTAGCCTTCATTGTAAAGTGCTAGTGCGGTAGGAAGCATCAAACATGAATGCAAACCGCAACATTACTCTCAAAGGCGCCTTGAGCATAGTGGCGAAAAAGTAGCTGTCCGAAGCGCTTTGTTACCAAATTGGTAGCGGAGCTGAGCCCTCAATTGCAGGGTGAAGCTCCAGCAGGGCCTTTGGGAAGCCAGTTCTCCGTTGTATTGCCTCAGACCGTGTTGGCTGGGGAAGGTGTAACACAGTGGAAGCAAGCAGTGTGATATTCCTTTGGTTGGTGTGGCTGGAGGAGTGTGCCTTACCATGACAGTCGCAGGGTTAAGGTACCAGCAGGGTTCGTATGCAACGGCCCCCATAGTGACAAAGAATGGTGTATTCATTTACAGTGGCACTCCAGAAGCGTATCACGAATGGGAGTTCAGAACGGAACTGCGTATCGTTGCATGTGAGCAGAGAATCAAGAAGGACCGTAGAGAACGGAAGCAGAAGAAGGGCGAATCTTTCTCGTCGTCAAGCAAGCCTGAGACGGGGAAGAGAGAGCGGTCCCCGACGAAAGGGCGTGAGAATGACTTGGAGCGTGGCCCAGTGTCAGACACGTCCAGTGAGATCCCGAAGGTGAAGGAACACGAGTCAGGGTCCGAAGATTCCGATGGAGAGAGTGAGAAAGATCAGTGGTTGGATGCTACCTTGCGTGTCATGGAGGGACTGCGAGGAGATGCATTTCAGAGGGCCAAGGACTTGGGTGTTCAGACATTGTCATCTCCGGGAGGTTTGAGAAAGCTAATTCAAGAGATCAAGCGCATGGTGTTTCCTTTGGGAACCCTTGAAGCACAGGCACTCTTTCGCAGTGGCCAGGCCCAGTACGGCCCACTGTCAAGACAAGGTGGTGAGAGTATCGTCAGCTACATCTCACGCCGAAGAAGGTGGTGGGAGTTGATGCAACAGCTTGATCCCAGAATAAGCTTGAGTGATGGACTTAGAGCAGAACTCATGCTGGAGCTAAGTGGACTCACCAAGGATCAGCAGCTAATGATTAAGGCTTGCGCAGGAGGTGACAACAGCTTCGAGAGTTTTGCTAGAATCATGATTGAGCATCATGGAAACATTCACTTGAGGGACAACCGCTTATTGGACCCATTTGGCAAAGGAAAGGGCAAGGAGCCAGGCAAGTTCGGTTCCAAGGACTTCGGCAGGGACAAAGGTAAGTTTGGCCCAAAGGGATTCGGCAAAGGATCTTCAGGGAAGCCATCTTACAATCAGCAGTCACCGTGGAGAGCGTATGCAGCCGAAGAGATGGGTCAACATGCGGAGTATTATGGAGAACCAAGTGGATCAGAGTACGAGCATTGGGGATACCTAGCAGAGCATTGGGGAGAAACCGATCCGAATGAATGGTGGTATGGAGAGCATGGTGAAAACCCCCAAGCATACCCAGCGTATACCCCAGACAATCAAGAGAGAGAAGAGTATGTATCTGATGAAGACATTGCAACCGCGCTGAACGTCATTGAATCGTGTGACCCAGATGCTTACCCAGAAGCAGCGGCAGAGGCTATTCAGCTACAATTGGCTGCAAATGTCGTCATGGGCAAGGCAGGAAAAGGGAAATCCCAAGGAAAAGGTAAAGGATTCTGCAGCAAGTACCGGCATGTGCAGTGATCAGTGATAGCTCTTGTACAACCCTAGCCTTTCGGCTCTTAGGGGGCCCCCTTCTTGGAGCCGACGCTGCTCTCTTGAGCCACGGACGGAGCACTGAGCTCCACGGTGAAAAGGAGGGCACTGCGCTCTTCACTGAACGTTGTCGTGTGCTTTGTCATCTTCGTTGTGTTGAGCCCAATCAGCTACCAGTGCAGCTCTGCTGCATTGGTAGCGGAGCTACCTGATCCTGGACCTTTCCGAACTTCCTGAGGAACTTCGAGGTGGCACCAGGTTCCAAGGCTTGCCGGGAATCACTTGAGGAGGCCGAGGCCAAGATTTCTTCTCCCTGGAAGCTGCCCACTGTTGTGGTTTTCTCCTAGTCCTACACTTTACGTGCTTCCATCAAGGCTTGTACAGTGCCTTGTTTTCTTCGATATGGCTGACAGCAAGGAGAGCTCGCACATTCCTGCGTGGGATGGCACGGCACGTGCCTGGCGGCGCTATACGAGAGAGGTGGCATGGTTTGTGCAGTCAACGCCAGTTCACAAGAGGCGTTACTGTGCGAGCCGACTTTTGTCACGACTTTCAGGTTCGGCACGGCTGCTGGCGATGAGCTGGCCCAGGACTGCCTTTGATAGTCAGGACGGAGTGAAGCTCTTCCTTCAACGACTGGCAGGCAGCCCCCTGGTACGACAGAACCTGCCGAACGCAGCAGCCACATGCCAACAGTACTTTGCCTTCAGACGACATGAACGAGAACCCATCGGATCATTCCTTGTACGTGAAACGCTTGTTCATGAAGAGTTCGTTGAAGCTCTGATCCGCTTGCATGAAGACAAACTAGGTGTAGCACAAGAGGATCGTGATTTCGGACTTCCACCTGTTCAGGAAGAACACGAAGAGTCCTGGCGCTGGTGGGGCGACACTATGTGGGATGAACTTGATCCTGATGATGCTCCACCCGAAGATGAACCGCAACCTGAAGGTAGCGATCCTGCACGTCGTGACGGACCACCGGCTGCCACTACCGGCTCCTCCCCTAGTCATCGCGCGGAGGCAGGCTCTCAAGCTGGAGAACGATCTCCGGTGGAATCTCCACCTGAACGTCCCAAGGCTATCGACGAGCTGTCCATGGCGGACTCCTTCATCTTGGAGGTCTTGAGGGGATGGAGGCTCATGCAGGCCTCTGGATTGACGGCGGATGAACGCCGTGACATTCTTGCCTCCACCAAGAACAGCATGGACTACGCCGTCATCGCTTCGGCTCTCCAGAATCTTTGGGATGATCAGATGATAGGGCGGAGCCACCACGGCATGGGTGCACACCAGGCCTACATGCTTGACGGCAACGAGGTTTGGGACACCGAGACGGCATACTACCAGGAGCAGGACGACGATTGGTGGCAGAGCGATGACTCTTGGTGGAACGATGCCTACTACACCGACGAGAGCTCCTACGGCGAGGACCCCTGGTGGATGGAAGATTGGTGGGGCTACGACGCCCACACCGCTCAAGAACCTGATGACGCCGCCTTGAAGGAGAAGTTGCAGGAAGCTCAACAGGCTGAGCAGGTGGCGGAGAGCTTAGCGGCAGAAGCTCACCGCACGTGGGCGGAAGCCCAGCGGGCGACTCAGGCGCTCAGAAAGGATCGAGGGTTCGGTGCCGTGATGCAAAAGGGTTCTGGCAAGTGCTTCAACTGCGGCGGCTCACACTTCGCCCGAGACTGCCCTCATCCAGATCGACGTGGACTTGGCTATGGAAAGGGCAAGGGCAAGGCCTTTGCCATGGAATCCGACGATGGCTGGTTGTACTACACCGGCAAAGGGAAGGGCAAGCCCAAGGGCAAGGGCAAGAAGGGACCGTGGATGCAAGCACATGCTATTTGGACCAAGGGAAAAGGGAAGACTAAAGGGAAGTCTAAGGAGCGCACCGTGAATGCCTATGCCTCAGATATCTTCCTTGGTGGTTTGGAGTTCAGTGGACTGGAGATGGCCACCAGTCAGCAGACATCCGGACCCCTGGCGACGTCCCAGGAGCCGCACCTCGGCATGATCGACTCTGGTGCTACCGCGTCTGCTGCCCCAGAAGCCGTTGTGAAAGGGCTCATTAGCGCAATTCTCACCCAGGATAAGGGAGCCAAGATCGAATTTGATCAGTCAGCGCGGCCATACTTTCGGTTTGGGAACGGGAGATGGGGCAGGGCACTTTGTCGAGTACATCTTAGCAGTACTGTGTCAGGTCAGTTGCGAAGCTTCTCTCTTTACACCCTACCGAACCCCGATGAGTACTTCAAGAGTGGATTCGACAAGTCTTCATTGGTTCCAGTCTTGGTCGGGATGGATTGTCTTGGAAGGGATGGCATCGGTATCATGATAGACTTCGCCAGCGGCCTGGCAATGAATACCAAGGAACCTAATCCGGCCATCTACCCCCTCACAGTGAACAAGAAAGGACACTACACCCTTGACATACTTCATCATCTAACCCAAGGTCACACATCAGCGGAAGGACAAGCACATGTGGTCATTCGCTCGTCAGATGCTCAGGCAGCCCCACACAATGATCATCAGTTCCTGGAGTTAGGTACTGTCTGGTTTGACTTGACTGCCTGTGATGCTGAGCTAGATGAACGTGAGCTTCAGCTTTCACGAGATAGGATGTGGCAGTTGTACAACGCTTCACGCTCTTCGTGTTCCTCAGCATCTCAAGCACTGATGTGTGGACAAGCTCCGCCTGTAGCAATCCCGACTACTTCTCCCTCGTGCTCTTTCGGTGATGTCGCTTTCTCAGCAGACTCCCGAGCAGGTGATCGTGGACCACATCCGTGCCAAGACAAAGCCGAAGGCAAAAGCTCAACCACTCGATCCAAGCCGTCGAGTCCCAGCGGACCTTCGAGATCCTCGTGCACTCCAATCTCAGTGGCCATGCCACAACAATCATGTACCAGGTCGTCCCCAAGCGAACGCACATGGCCAGTGGACCCATTGTGCAGTGTGCAATCTGAGAATGGAGTACGTCCCACGTCTGGGAAGTCATGGTCAGACGACGAAGGCCGACAACCCGGGCATGACACGACGCATGTTGGACCAGTTGCAGGTTCTCATGGGCAACTGCAAACCAACAGCGGCCATCTGTTTGGCAATGCAGCGGAAGATCGATGCGGAGGAGCAGCTCAACACGTTGATTCGGGAGCGCATGGCCGAGAACCAGATGGTCGAGACTGTGAACCAGGCCACACCGGCTACCACTTCAGCGAGCACACCGGGTGCGCGAGTCGCACCGACGAGTCCTCAGCCGTCGTCTCCGGACAGCTGGGAAGTGACCTCGGATATGAACCCCAACACACTGGACAATGGCTACTAGACGAGACCGAGCTCAGAAACCCCATGAAGCCCAAGGACAAAACTCGACGAGCTCTACCTCTTCCTCTGTACATGGGCAAAAAGCTGATGGCCATGACGACGCTCGTTGCGGCCACAATGTCGCAACTGCTGCTCGGACTACACCTTGAAGGCCACGAAGGGCTGTGGGAAATTTCTGGTGCTCCCCACAGTTGGCTTAGCGAGGCGGCAGAGCAGCAGGGCATGCGAGCTCGGCGAGTGAACCTACAGCAGGGCTATGACATCTACAAGAAGGAGACGTGGAATCATTTGCGGTCACTACGGCGACAACAACGACCGCGGAAGATTTGGATGTCCCTGCCGTGCACGAAGTGGTGTTCGTGGTCTACTACCAGGTACAACGATGAGCGACGGATGGTTCAACTTGAAACTGAGCGCCGAAGAGAACGACGCATGCTTTGGGAGGCTGTGTACTTCATCCTGGAGACCGTGGACGAGGACCCCGCCGTACAGTTGTACTTCGAATGGCCTCATCCTTGCATTGGTTGGCGACAAAGGCCCATGGTGTTTCTGGAACAAGAACTACAACGACGCGGGCGTGAGTGGCTACCTTGTCGTGTGGATGGATGTCGCTACGATTTGAAGGATGAAGCTGAAGGGAAGTTTCTGAACAAAAAGTGGTTGGTGAAGACCACAGACGAGATGTTCCATCAGACCTTCAGGGCCAAGGTGTGTGTGGGCAACCATGAACACTCCAACATGGAAGGTCAGGAAGCGAATCGAACAGCCTACTACCCTCAAAAGCTTGTCAACTCCATTGCTGTGTTTTGGAGAGATCAACTTGGACCACAACGGCATGCACGACTACTACGTCAACAAGCTAAATCAGATGATTGCTGTGAACCTCCCCGAGATCCGTGGGTCTTAACTCTTGTGGGAGAACTACAGTCAGACGTTGTGGAAACCCATGATGCGCTTCTTGGACAAGCGGCAGCTTTGGACATCAACAACTACGCGAGGGAGGCAATGGCGTTCAAACGCTTCGAATTCAAGGACTGTGAGAAGTTGTTCAACCTCATGTACAACTATCTTGGCGTGACTGTACAACAACATCATCTCCGGTGGGCACACACACCCAGCCAACAATTGTTGTTCGGAGTTTACTCCTTCGGTTCCTTTGGTGGCCTTACCAACAACACGGAGCTCTACAAGGATGTCGTGATCTACATCAACGGATTTCTACGTCGACACCTTCCTCAACAATCTTGGACGAGCTTGATGATCAACTTCAATGGTCGGGCGCTTCCTCACAAGGATCACCACAATCTCAAGGGATCCGTCAACATTCTGACATGCTTTGGGTCCTTTGATGGTGGAGGTCTATGGCTTCGTGATGAATCGTGCTCTACTACGACCACTCGACGACAACTACGTGATGGTTCCTACGCCAATGGAGTGATTTGGAACACGAACAAGAAGTTCGTCATTTTCGAGCCTGACATTCTTCATGCAACGCAACAATGGAGAGGCTTTCGGATGGCTCTTACAGCGTACTCCTCGAGGATGGTGAACAAGCTGTCTGCAGAAGATCGACAACGACTACAAGCACTTGGGTTTCCCCTGCATGCGCTGCAAGGTTCCTCAACGATTCTGGCTGCAGAACAAACGTCATCTACTACCCCTGGTCCTTCAATGCCAGCTTCTAGACTGTCGTCTACATTATTGTCTTCGACGATTCTGACTGCAGAACAGACGTCATCTACTACCCCTGGTCCTTCTCCACATGATAGTCAGGACGTTGAATCACATCTCCCCGAGGGTGTGACCCAAGTCGAGTATGACAAGTGGACCGCACAAGTGGCAAAATTTCACAAGGCAGCTGGTCATCCATCCAACCGCAACTTGGCGAGAATCGTTCAGGATGCAGGACATGCCAGTTGGAAGATTGAAGTGGCCAGAAACCACTCCTGCCCTACATGTTTGAGCTTGAAACCGGGCGGGACCAGTTCCGGAAATGTACCTCCAGCCAGTACTCATGCTCAGTATCGTGCATGGGAAGCTGTGGCAGTAGACGCAGCTGAATGGATACCTCCTGGGCGAAAGGTCAAGGTGAAGTTTCTCCTCTTCATGGATGTGGCGACCAAGCTGAGAGTCACGTGTCCCTTGTATGTGTACGACTTCCTGGAGATGAAGGCCGAGTCCAGTCAGGATTTTATGCAATGCTTTACGGAGAGATGGCTGGGAACGTATCCGAAGCCAAGAGTGGTTTTGATGGACTCAGCAAAGAGTCTCATTTCAGAAACTACACACCAGTATCTCTCCGATTTGAACATACTGGTCCATTTCATTGCGGAGAAGGAGTCGTGGGCACATGGAACAGTGGAAGCAGCCGTACAAGATGTGAAACAGACTGCTTCTGCCGTGTATCAAGATGTACGTGATCTACAACCAGCGCTGGCACTGCACCTTGCTACGTCGGCCCTGAATTCTACTGAGTACACGGCCGGCTTCTCCTCCTTCCAATGGGCATTTGGGAAGCAGTACTCCTTGTCGGATGAGGACGTTCGTACAATGGCCACAACCAATGGTGAGGGCGAGTTCACCAAGCTAGTTTCTCTACGACAACAAGCAGAAGAGGTGGCTGTGAAAACAAGATCCAAACGAGTTCTATCGCGACTACAGAACTCTTCCGTCCGGCAACCCTTGAGGGAGTTCGAACCGTTTGCACTGGTGAAGATATGGAGACATGTATGGCCACATGAGCAAGCTAAAGGTGCACGCGGAGGCTTCCGCAAATCTGGACGTCCACACTGGGCAGGACCGGGACGAGTGATCTTTCAAGAAGTTCTACCACATCAAGAAGCTGGAGATCCTCGACGTCACATTGTGTGGGTTTTGATCGGACAAAGGCTTTTTCGATGCTCTGTTCACTCAGTTCGTCCAGTAACGGAGGAGGAACGCTTCGTCTACGAAACCACCACTACTGAGGACCCTTCCTCCTGGAGAACCTTGGCGGATGTGCTACCGAAGCGGGAGTATTTCGATGTCTCGCATGAGGAACCTACGCAAGAAGACCGTGAGCTGCCCGATCTACCTGAGCAACCGGACACAACAACAGTGGTGGCACCTACTCGTCGTGTACGGGCAAAGACCAGTCCTACCGAACTTGGTGATGCAGATGTTGGTACTCATGGCGCAACCGCCGCGCCGTCCCAACAACTACAACATGAAGCTCCAGAAGTCAACGACTATGAACAGCCTGCTCCGAAACGAAGCAAGGCCGAGAACCAGGACTGGGTAGAAGAGCTCTATGCCGAGGCCGCCATCGAGGAGCAGACCATGGATATCTTCAATGCCATGACTGAGGTGAACGAGTTCCTACGGATCGAGATTGACATGGGCGACTTCAGTTCAAACCGACAACGCAAGATGTTCGAGCGTCATCCGGTCGCATATTTGGCCAAGAAGATGAAAGACTCAGAGGTCGTGGTGAGCAAGCTTCCAATGGATGAACGACAGCTCTTTTCCAGAGCCAAAGCAAAAGAAGTTGAGTCGTTTCTGCGAAATGAAGCTGTTCGAAAGTGTCTCAACGATGACGAAGTCAAGAAGGCCTATGATTCGGGCCGCATTGTCAAGGCCAGATGGGTGCTCACGTGGAAGTTGGTGCCTCCTGAAGACCGAGACGAGGCACTCAAGGATCGTCGTGAGAACTCGGCGACTCTCCACACCAAGGATGGGCTTCGCAAGGCAAAGGCCAGGATTGTGTTGCTTGGATTTCAGCATCCGAATCTGTTGGACCCATCTTTTAAAACAGCTTCACCTGTGCAGTCGAGTTTGGGAAGAAATTTACTGTACTTGATGGCTGCGCAGCATCAATGGATGTTAGAAGGACTTGACCTGGCTACCGCATTCCTTCAGACGTTGCCCACGGAAGCAGACAAGGAACTCTGGACATCCGGTGTCGAGGAGTTGCGAGAAGCTCTTGGTGTAGGCCCCGAACAAATCATGCGCATTTTGAGAAACATCTATGGATCCACAACAGCACCACGTGGACTTTGGCTGGCCCTTCACAAAACCCTAACCTCCTTAGGAGCACAACCAGTCCTGGGCGAAAGGTGTTTATGGATCTGGTTGTCTCAGCAGATGCCTCTGCGCACCATCGGCGCCATGGGAGGTCACGTTGATGACTTCCATCGGATTGGCGATGGATCTGAGGAGTGGCTAGCAATCAAGGCCAAGATCGACGGCGCCTATAAATGGGGCATGACGAAGTCCGGTAACTACCGACATGCGGGAACTGACATCACCACCGTAAAGGACGATGATGGCTATATGAAAATCCTCGTGGACCAACAGTACTACGTGGATGGCGTGGCAGATGTGGACATTGAGCCGGACCGTCTTCGTGGTGATGAAGTTTTAGCCCGACGTGATGTGGAAGCGTGCCGCACTGCCTTGGGTGAACTTCAGTGGCTGGCAGTTCAAACGCAGCCCCAACTCTGTGCCCGGTGCAACCTCTTGTTGACCGAGATCACAACAGGAGGGACGATGGCCACCGCGAGAGAGATTCAGCAGATGATTGGTGAGATTCGCCGGGAGAACTTCAAGCTGGAGTTTCGTCGACTACCAGATGTACATTCCTGGAAGGACGTGGTGTTCATCAGCATGGGTGACCAAGCCCACTGCAACCGTCCAAAAGGTGACTCCACAGGAGGTCTGATCACCCTCGCTGCGGGACCAGGAAGCCTTGATGGAACCGTGAGTCCTATGCTCATTCTTGGATGGAGGACATGGAAACTTCGGCGGAAAGCCATTGGATCAAATGACGCAGAAGTTCAATCCATTCTGGAGGCAGAAGACCACAACTTTAGGACAAGGTTGCTGTGGACGGAACTTCATGGCGGCGGTGGACCTCGTGGACAACGACCTCTTCGTGAAGACTTGGTGGCTGCCCTTGAGAAGCAAGTAGAGACTATCAATGGAGTCCTGTGTACGGACTCACGTGGTGGCTATGATGCTGTT